TTAATGAAAGAAGATAAAACATGGGGAGAAATTATTACAAGATTAAGACATTTAAAAACAACTATTATTGTGAATTTACATATTTGGAAAGCATTAAATCCATCATTTAAAACACAAATTGCAACAATTATTATATTTAAAGGATATTCTAAAGAAAATTTTGGATATATTTATAGACAAACAGCAGGATCAGCTACAAATTCTGTTGCTTATTATTTATATCAATCTATAAATCAAAATGAAGTATTAAAAATAGATAATTTAACAGGAGATTTAAGAATTATAAAAAGATAATTGAATTATTGTTTTTTAATCATATAGTCATTATCTTTAGCATATAAATAAATAATTAAATATTTTGTTAATCCTTTTTCATCATCTATATCTGGTTTAAGTTTTCCACCTGACCATGTAATATTTTGTTTAGATACAGAAAATTTACCATTTCTTCCATTTTCATATCTTTTATCAACACAACATACCCATATTGAACTTACACAATCAGGAATTACTTTTGCTTTTATTAAATGAGCTAAAGCACTCCTTCTTTTCCATTAAATAATGTTTGTTGAATAATTTGATTTTTAGTCATTCCTATAATAAAGAATGAATGAAATGAAAATCTCCTTTGTGTTTTTTCATATTTTGATGATTTTTGTTTTCTTCTTCCATCATTTAATGATTTACTAAATCCATTATTATTTGAAATATCATCACGTAAACCAGCAAGACGTATATATTGTTTTCCATCAATTTGAGTAGCTTGTTTATATTCATTTTCAATATTAAATGTTTTACTTCCAGTTTTTGATTTAGCATTTTTAACAATAATTGAACGTTGAATTGATAAAATTAGATTATCACATAATATCCCTAATGGATTATTAATATATTCATAATCATTATTATTAATTAAATAAAACATTCCTTTAAGATCCCAATTCATTATTGATCTGCTTAATATTGATGAAATATAATTCATGAGTGTTTGTACATAATAAGTAATAGAATACTGAATAGAGTTATAAATATTTTTAAAGTTGGTACTAAGAATTTGAACCAATTTTTGCATTCTTTTATTTATTCCATT